ACTATATTTTTTTTTCATTTCCCTATACATTTATAACTCAGAGCTTTTGATGTTTGATAATTTTTTTTTTTTTAAATGACCGGTAAGGGGATCTCAGCCCTTGGCTTGGTGTTGTCAGCACCATGCTCAGCTGGTGAGCAAACGGGCCATCCCTATGTAGGATCCGAACCTATGGCCTTGGTGTTATCAGCACCGCACTCTCCCGAGTGAGCCATGGGCTAGCCCATAATGTTTGATAATTTTTAAAGGTCATGGAACAATTGTAATTTTTCCCATTGATTATTAAGATCATTGTGCATGACTTCAGCTTCCATGGTCATTTTTACCATACTGCAACATGGTGCAAAGCAAGGACTGCCTGTACTTCAATCTCAGTTCTCATTCTGGAATCCATATTTAGCTCAGTTGGTAACTCCTCTCCTGCTTGCCATTGGGCAAAATGTTGATTATACACTGTAAACCACAATACAGAAGTTAGGCATTATTATTATTGTTATTAAATACTGGGTAAGAGCACATGCTTTGGGAGCAATGCACTTGGATTAAAATCCCAGCTCTGCCACTTATTAGCAGAACTTTGGGCAAGGGCAAGTGACTCAATGTTTTTTTCACAGTTTCTTCATCTATAAAACTGGGCTTATGGTTCCTACTTCACAGGGTTGTATGCAGAAGAATTAATGTAGTCTTTTAAAAGGTTTCAGATCCTCAATAAATGCTCGCTGTCGTTTTACTAGGCTCCACTCACTTCACTCCAGTTATAAAGCTCTGAGGATATAGAAATGAATGAGCCACTGTCTTAGCTTTCTGGGCATCCAAAGTCCTGTGAAATAAATAATAATTGAATTTAATGTTCAAAGAGTTACAGTACAACTATTCATTTAGCAAGGTTGAGGTGAGATATACAACTAGTCTTTAAAAGGATGGGAAATTAACCAACGTCACAGGTTCAGATCCCTGCTCCGACCAGCGGCCAAAATAAATAAATAAAAAGAAAAGAATGGGAAATTCCACTGAGGGCTCTTTCTCTTATTTCCTGGGTGGCCTCACGCCCAGTGAAGGAACCTCCTAGAGCCTCACTTTATCCATCTGTAAAATGAGCATAATCCCTTCCTCATTATAAACAGTACAGCTGGAGTTTATTTATTTATTTATTTATTTTTCAGCTGGAGTTTAAAAACAGTCCTTTTCCTTTCCCA